GCACGCGTGGTGCTGCAGCCACTGGATGGGGGGCTGCGCGTCGCTGTACACCTTGCACAGCAGCTCCACGTCGCTGCCCGCCACCGCCGTCGTGTTGGCCGGGAGCCCCGCCTGCAGGATGGGCCGGTGCGGGGACCGCTCTGGGGGCCGGGCCGAGCGTCAGCCTTGACCGTGGCCCCAGTCACCCTGTCTGCCTGCCTCCGCTGGGACCCCGTCCAGCTCATGTCCCCCCAGTCTACACCTCTGCCTGTCACTCAAGCCCTCCACGCCTGGCTCCCGCGTCAGTGCCACCCTGGAATGCATCTCCCTGACAGCCGGCCTCAGCCCGCAGAGGGCTCGGCCTGCGCTCTCCGCCTGGGTCTTCTCGGCCCCCTCAGCATGCCCTCCGTATGTCCCGGTCCGTGTGGCCCTCGCCCCACAGCTGGAGGGACATGATGAAGCCTCCTGACATAATGGAGACCAAGTCCACTGCACCTGCCAGCCTGGGCCCTGACAGGCAGGACTGAGTCCCACGGCCAGGGCCCCCGGCCGCTCACCCAGCACGTCCAGCAGGTAGCTGTAGCGGATGCTGCCCAGGGCGTTCTCCACGAGGCAGGTGTACGTGCCACGGTCCGAGGGCACCACGCTTTCCATCACCAGGCTCCAGTGCTGGTGGCGCAGCTGGGGACAGGGGAAGTGTCCACATGGGGCCTCTGCACACGGACACCCTGGGGCCAGGCCCGAGAAAGCCGGGTCCTGCCCACAGGGCTCTTCTCCGGCTTTAGGGCCTGAAGAGGTCAGGCCAAGGCCAGAGACCCTGGGACAAAGGAGGAGGCTCCAGGAAGTGCCTGAGCCCTGAGTCCGAGTGACCTGCTTCTAGCGCCACCTCCCGCAGCCAGCTTGTGCTCTCTGAGTCTCAGCGACCTCGCTTGGTCTGGGCTGACCCCCGAAGTCTCATGGCGAGAAGGAGGCATTAAAGCTTATCGACACCTACTGGTCAGCTATTCCTCTCACCTTCCAGACGCAGCTGCTCAGGCTGAGGCTGTCGCTCGCCAGATAGCCACAGAGAGGGACCAGAGCTGCCTGGCGTGCGGCCCAGGGCTCCCTCCAGGGCCCCACGGCTGCCCTCGTCCTCGGATTTCCTTACAGGTGTGTTTGATTTCTAGCCACAAGTGCACAAGGACATGGGGCAGCGGGCCTAGGGACCTGGAGACTCACCCGAATGCCTCCAATGCGCTGCTCCCCGTGAAAGGTCTGTCCATCCTTGAGCCAGCGGATAGTGGGCTGGGGGTGGCCTGCAGCTGGACAGCGGAACTTGACGGTGTTCCCAGCAGGTACTGCGTGCAGCTTCTTCTCCATGCGCTGGGGGTGTGTCCAGTAGGGTGCTGGAGGGAGGGGAAGGATGCACCTAGTGCCCCTGGGTTGACCTCTGGCTCCCACAGGGCTCTTCTCGGAGTCCCTGAGGACTCGGACTAACCTTGCTGGGGGTAAACACGTCTGTCCGAGGAGTCCCTGCGGGCCTTGGGGTCCCCCTCGTCATCGCTGGAGGTCAAGGAGTCTGTCAGGGACAGAGGGAGGCACCTGAGATCTAAGAGGGAGAGGACTCTCCCCAAGCATCCCTTTGCCCTCTGCCAGGCCCTCTTACCATCCATCACCAAGGTGAGGTTGTGCAGAATGATCAGAGACCCCCGTGCCAGGCAGAGGTAGTGGCCAGCATCCTCGGGGAGGAAGCTGGCAATCTCCAGGCGGCCTCTCCAGCCCCGCACCCGGCCAGCCCCTGCCTTCCTTATACCAGTGGCCACCACGCTCGGCCCCCCCACAGCACAGCCTCACAGGCTGCCCGAGGGTCACCGTCAGCTCCTGCTCTTGTCGCTCCAGGCTGGGGGCCTCACAGGGCTCTGTGGGCAGAGGGCAGAAGTTGCTGAGCCCACACACCCATCTGAAGCAGCCCCCGTGTACGGAGGACATGCTGAACACGCAGGGCATGAGCACCTCGCAATGCATGCTGGGCGTGCCACTGCCTCTTAACTTACACACAGCGGCAGGCGACGATGCTACCACAAGGCAGGGCACACTTCAGGACACGCCACACACACAGCACTTGGCACACACACCGGACATGCCGCTGTCCAAGATGCACGCACACAGACGCAAGCACATGCCACGCCTCTGGGGTGCATCCCAGTGCATACCCTGCACATGCTGCTGGGCTTCCACGTCGCACGCCCAATGCACAGAACACACACACGCACGCACACGCTCTGCGAGGGCTCACCACCAGCTCTGCGGCCCAGCCCAGGCCCTGTGCCCTGCAAGGCCAGTCCTCTCTTGCAGACACAGGGGCAAGTGGATGCTTGCTGGGAGGCAGAAACTGAGTTTCAGGGGTTGAGCGCAGCCTGCTGCCACCTTCTCAGGGTTTGCCCGGGGTCTGTCCAGCTTTACTCGGCCAGCAGGCCCCTCCTGGTGCCCACCCTTCCCACTCCGGCCACCTTCTTCCATCTTAGGGGCCATACCCAGTTCCATGTCCTCAGAGGTCTCAAGGGACAAGGCTGGAGCCCTGGGTGCCCCCAGCAGGACCCCCAGCAGGGCCACCAGCAGCTGCATGTCCTTCCTGCTGCACTTCCCGGCAGCTGCCTTCCTAAAACGGAGGGAGAAGAGCTCCTGGGCAGTGCCCTCTGCTGCTCCCTGTGTGCAGATGAGGGCGCCGAGCCAGGAGGGCGCAGCAGTGCAGACAGGAGCCTCTGCTGCTGCTAGCGCCCATTTCCCCCAGGCCCCCTGTAAGCTGCAGAGAGGGGCTGGGCCCGGCTTCCTGCCCTCCCCGGGGCCTGCCGAGACCCTGGCATGAGTTCACAGAAAGCAGCTTTGGGACTCTTTCCAGGGAGGGAAGCAGAGAACAGAGACATATCTTCTGCTTGCTCTCTGCACACATAATTTATTTTTTGCTGAATAAATGAATATATTGCTGAAAAGCCAAAAAATGTGAAATTTAACACGAGGCCAGATTTTAGCATCTGGATGTTTTCAGACCTGACCCCCGACTCTTCACAGGTTCTTGACATTCTGTGACCGGCCCGGATGCTGCCAGCGGCCAGGTGCTCAAGGCTGCACCCTCCAGGTCCAGCAGAAGTTCCTCCTTACCCGGAGCCAGACCACACCCGGACTGCACAGGACTGTACCTGGACAGCACCTGGACTACACTGGACTGCACCCAGACAGCATCTGGACCACACCGGACTGTACCTGGACAGCACCTGGACTGCACCGGACTGCACCCAGACAGCACCTGGACTGCACCGGACTGTACCTGGACAGCATATGGACTGCACCGGACTGTACCTGGACAGCACCCGGACCGCACCGGACTGCACCCAGACCGCACCTGGACCGCACCGGACTGCACCCGGACAGCACCTGGACCGCACCGGACTGCACCCAGACCGCACCCGGACCGCACCAGACTGCACCTGGACAGCACCCGGACCGCACCGGACTGTACCTGGACAGCACCCGGACAGCACCCGGACCGCACCGGACTGCACCTGGACCGCACCGGACTGCACCCGGACAGCACCTGGACCGCACCGGACTGCACCCAGACCGCACCCGGACCGCACCAGACTGCACCTGGACAGCACCAGGACCGCAGCATTCAGACCGCACCAGACTGCACTGGACTGTACCCGGATCGCACCAGACTGCACCGAACTGCACTGGACAGCACCCGGACAGCACCGGACCGCACCGGCTCTGCTTGTCCTGCCCCCCACCCCACAAGGCAACGCAGGGCTGTGGGGACTAAGTGAACGCTAACGGGGTCAAATCCCAACTCTCATTTACAAGTTTCTGTCCCTGTCCCTTGGGCCACTGTCCCCACAGAAGGATGTACGCAGGCTGTGCCCTCAGGATGTGGGCACACCCTCCTGCCCGTCCCTCCGAGACCCTGTCCTGTCGAGTCTGCCCCGAGCTGGCATCTCTGGCTCTGGTCCTGGGGTGTGGTGTGCGCTTCCACACCACCTGCCAGCCTCTTCTAAACACCACGGAGGCTGTCTCTGCCTCTCAGAAAGGGGCACTCGGCACTGAGCCTCAGCTGGGGTGGGGTCTAGGACGACCACTGTGGTCCAGGGCTGCTGCTCTTACCGGCGCTAACAGTCAGGTGGCACAGGTGTCTCTGATCTACCCTGCCCTGGAAGCCACCACACCCCTCTGCTCAGCTAGCGCCCTCCAGCTCTGTCCTGGCCAGTCCATTCTGCCCCAGCTGTAACCAGCAGCCGGCCCCCTGCCCCTACCCAGGGCAGGTCCTGGTCC